GGTGCCTGGACCCCTTCCAAAACCTATTAAATCAGAAAACTGGTGGTAGGGTTCAAGAAATGGTATTTTAAAAAGCTCCCGGTTGATTCTTATTGCAGGCAGAGTTGTGAACCACTGGCCTAAGGGAACTAGAAAATGAAGAAAGACAGGCTCTTCTGAATGGAAAGGACCTCAGGTTTCCTTTGCACTTATAATTCAGTCTTTGAAAACCTCAGTTTTAGAAAAAGTTAGTAATGACTTATCTTCTTGATTTTTGTATCTGATGAGAACTCAGAGATTCCAGAGCATTCTTCTTATGTAACAGGCAAACTCTGAATAAAAACTTTTTGTTTCAGAGAACCATTTATTTTGAGTCATTGTGTGGTACAGAAACATGCATTCTTCATGGCATTTTTATGTTGTATTTTAAAAAGATTTAAGCAAGAAGAAAGGAAGCAAGTAGTTGGAAGATATAGTCTGCAGAGAAAAGCTATTTATGAACAACTATTATTTAGGTATTTTTCAAGCTTGAGTCATCTTGTTGATTATTTTCAATGCTTTACTGTAATTACAGCTCCAGGAGTAGTGTGCTCTTTGACTCAGTGCCTCAGAATAAATACTTTTTGGATAATGAACTCAGAACACTTAAATTGCTACCTGTTTATGGAATACTGATTTACATCATCACACGTCTGTTACTTCAAAGATGGAAAGCATGGAATACTTTCCTAAAAGATACAAATTTTTTCCTATGTGTACTTTTCTTTTAAAGAACTGAATGCAATGTTTCCATTGTATATTCATCATAGTATAACTGATACTTTTTACCTCTATTGATTTCCTAAATTAAAATAGGCATTTTAGAATTTATGCTAATTATTGTAGAAACCTGCAATGCTATGTAGTGTATGAAACTGATCTCTTTTTTTGGCAGGGAGGGGAGAGGGGAGAGTAAAATTTCTGTAGATTGAATCATTATTCCTCCTTTTTTATTGTGAAATAAGAGATGCATTTATTTCTAGGAACTATTTTGGTCACAAAACAACGTACAATCAAAATCAATTTAGGAATTCAGAAAGTCTTAAAATAGCATTTCAGGTAAAATAATATTTTATTATATAATATCAATATTACTCAATATATAATTCAGCATTCTGAAAGATGTTCTAAAATTTGAGTCCAATAGCAGTAATTTTGTTTCTCTGGGACATAGGGAAAAAATGTACTATCCATGTGCTATCTTAAAGTGGTGCTATTTCTAGTTATCTCATATGATATTGGGGTTGATTAGATAATAAGATGATTTATTTCTTAATTGTTTGCTTAGGGGATTTGAGCTTAGGGTCATTATTCTGGATAGAAACTCAAATATAGTGACAGGCCTCTTTCATTTTCACCTTTATTTCTTCTAACAGAGCATGTCATATCAAGAATGACTCACTTATTGTGGCCTAGAAGGACTTCTGTTTTTTTAGATTACAGTTGACCTTCAATATTATTTTATAGTAATTTTGGTTGTACAGCATAATGGTTAGATAGTTATATAATTTATGAAGTGATCCCCGTTTTGTTCCTGATCTCAAGGGAAATGCTTGCAGTTTTTGCCCATTGAGTATGATGTTGGCTGTAGGGTTGTCATATATGGCCTTTATCATGTTGAGGTATGATCCCTTTATTTCTGTTTGGTGAGTTTTTATCATAAATGGGTGCTGGATTTTGTTGAGTGCTTTTTCTGTGTCTATTGATACGATCATGTGATTTTTACCCTTCATTTTGTTTGTATGATGTGTCACTTTTATTGATTTGCTGATACTGAACCAACCTTGCACCCCCAGAATAAACTTCACTTGGTCATGGTGTATGATCTTTTTAATGTGTTGCTGGATCCGATTTGCTAATACTTTGATGAGCATTTTAGCATCTATGTTCATCAGGGATATTCACCTGTAATTTTCTTTCTTTGTAGTGTCTTTATCTGGTTTTGGAATTGGGATAATGCTGGTTTAGTAAAAAGGACTTGGAAGTCTTCCCTCCTCTTGAATTTTTGGAATAGCTTGAGGAAAGATAGGTGTTAATTCTTCTTTGAATGTTTGGTAAAACTCACCTGTGAAGCCATCTGGTCCAGGACTTTTGTTTGCTGGAAGATTTTTGATTACTGCTTCAATTTCATTAGTTGTGACTCTTTTACTTCTGAGATGGGGCAATGACTGAGTTAATGCAGCTCAGCATATTTGTTGCCAGTCTTTAGAACTTAACTGTTGACTTTGATTATATTAATTCTGTTTTACTTTTAAAAGATTTATTTAATAATTTTTCATCTGCATAGTATTTTTATTCAGGATTCATTTTGGTTATTATGTTAGTGTTTAATAATCTGAGGCTTTATAGTACTTGAAATAACAGAGGTCAAAATTTCAACCCCTTCATTCTTAGAGAGGCTTTAATTACAGAAGGTGAAATTCTCCTGACATTGAAAGATGACCCATGTCTTGCTGACTCACCAAGTATCCTCAGTCATTTGGTTCTTTAAAAAGCTCCGCCAGATGAGACTAGATCTGCAGTTTTGGATAATGTGACATGAAGTAGGCACGGAAGGAGACTAGTCAATTCCTGTTGCATTTACAGGGGAAGAAATTTTAAATTCTGTTAGAAAAAATAAGATATCCAGGAACTCATCAAAATGAGTTATAGAATTGATGGGGTTTCATGTATGTAACTAGTTTATTAAAACTGTTATGTGATTTGCATGTCCCAAGGCTATCTGATTCAGATATGGTACTGAGAGTGTGGTTTTTCATTGTTCTTGTGCTTGGGTTCATTGAATTTCTAAAATCTGTGGGTTTTAGTTTTTAAGTTTTGAATGTTTTCAGCCATTTTTCTTCAAATACTTTTCCTTCTCTCTGTCTCCTTTGTGGTTTCTAATTACAAGCAAACCTCGTTTTATTGTGCTTTGCTTTATTGTGGTTTGCAGACACTCGATTGTGTTTTTTACAAAAGAAGTGGATGGATTTGTGGTAGACGTGGGAGGGATAATCAGAAAGACTTGATGATGGGTTGTTGATGGGAAAGGGTGGCTAGAGCTTCTAAGGAGCAGAGACTTTTTTAGGAAGAGAGGGAATGTTTATTAGCAGTATTTGGAGGTTGGGAGTAGGACAGAGCCAGGTCTTTGCTAAACCTAGAAGACAAATAGCAAGTTCTGATAAGAGGTATAAAGAGTTTTCTAATCACAGAACAGGAGTTCTTGAGGGTGCAGGATTCTATAGATAGTGTCCTGGGTCAGATGAGATATTGAGGGCAATATGGGATTGACAGTCAGGGTGATAATAAATACCTTGGGAGGCTTAGACTTCCTGCAGTGACTTGGTGAACAGGGCTATTAGGTAGCATAAGATGTGCCCTTCTGGGAACAGGAGGGCAGTCTGCTCTAGTTCTGTGGTCTTCAGTGCTGGCTTCCAAAAAGACTGCTCCCCTATGCTGCAACAACTCCTACACAGAATCACAAAAAATTTATTGTACAGAGCACTTAGAAGTTATTTATATTTTGAAAATAAAGAACTGATTCTTCTCCCACCCCCCTTTTTTTAACCTTAACATAATTATCCCCATGCTGTAGAATGTTTTCCTAACGTTGTATTTTTTAGAATGAAAATATTAAATGAAAAAGGTAAAGCTATAAGTTATTGGAGCCATTTAGTTTATGTCTTATTTCATTTCTGTGTAGTTTTAAAAATTGTTTTTATGGTTGTTAAAATTTTGTTTTTTTTTTGGAAGAGCTCCATAAATTGCTTTGTGGTATAAATATGATGTGTTCATAAACCACATGTCTTGTTCCATGTTCTTAATAGCATTTAACAAACTAAAAATGCCCCCTCCCAACACAGGCTTTATTTATTTATTTATTTTCAGAAATGTATATTGCAATATATTTAAAACAAGATTATCAACTCAGACCTTGAGTGTTTTGACTGTTACTAAGAATTTGCTTTCTTTAGGCTATGGTTTTGATTTAGGATTGTAAATTTGATTTAGGATTATAACAGAAAGAATAATTCTGTTCATTCACAGATTAAAAGTATTAGAGTTGAAAGATTCGTTTTGTAAATATCTGAAACTATACCTTGTCCATTTTTTTGTATCTTTAATGTGGATCCTCCCTGACTCTGGTAAGTCTCCAATAATTGTTTCTGAATAGAATTTTGAAGAGCTATAGCAAAGGGCATTCCTCTGTTACGTTTTTCAGTATTTATGAATTAGAAAGTCTAATAACAAATGACTTGTTTTTTTCCAGCAATATCCATATGCCCACTGTGTCTCCATTACTGAGGCAATATGCTCTGCTGGAAAAACCATTGAGAAGTAATGGCACTTATTAAGAAAAGAGAAAGACTATAGCTAGAAATCCAGAGAATACCTCCATTTAAGACATATGCAGCAAAGATGAGTAGGTAGAAGGACTGAGAAAGCATTTTTAGGAAGGGAGGAAGACAAGCTGGTATGTGGGATGATAAGAATTCATGAAAGCCAAAATAGAAGAGTAGCAGGAAGAAGTGAGTCAGCAGGATTAGATGCCAGGGGGCAGTGTGTGTGTGTGTGTGTGTGTGTGTGTGTGTGTGTGTGTGTGTGTGTGTGTGTGTGTTTAAAACGAAGATGGGAAAATTCTGTTGCATTAGTAGGAAATGGTGACCTTAGTGAGGAATTAGAATGATGTGGGTAGAAACGACTTATTAATGTGTTGAAAAACAAACAGAAGACTGCAAGTGTGGATTCTCTGAGTCCCTTAATCCCCTTTCTTTGTATTCTGCATAGTCTCTGATTACTTACTTTTGAAGCATTCAGACTTGAAGTTGAAGATGTTAAATATGAACCATTTATAGCTTATTGGGCAATTGCCAGAAACCTGCTATTTTTATCTTAATGTAATAATTTGTATAAAACTATATATTTAAGCTTCTTGAACAGTTAAAGCACAGCTAAATGAAAACTAACAAAGTGCTTATTTTATTTTTTTATGTTGTTAAAAGTCTTGGCTACTTATGATTCAGCAGACAGAACAACTTAGTAGGATAATGAAGACACATGCAGAGGACCTAAATTCTGGACCCTTGCACAGGCTCACCATGATGATCAAAGACAAGCAGCAGGTGAAGAAAAGTTATATAGGTGTTCATCAGCAGATAGAGGCAGAGATGATCAAGGTTTGTGTTTCCATTCTCGAATTTTCCTTTCACTGATTTTTAAACTCACTGAAATATATCTTGTTTGACTTTTAAAAAATGTTTTCTCTATATTTCCTGACAAGAAATAAGCTTTGGTATTTCTAATAAGTAATATCTCATTTTTATTGAATATAAGACATTATTGATTATAAGATATACTCCTACAAAAGAAAAAATACTGCCAATTGAAATATAATATGCTTTTTTATCACTTAGAATTTTTCACTTATTGAAATAGCTCTTTTAGGCTTTAAAAAAATTTTGTGTAATGTAACACTATACATAAAATAAAAATGAAAATAGAAGCAAAATAAAGTAGGATATTTCTAAATTTCTCCACATTCAGTGTGTCTTTCCTGGATAACTTTTTTAATGTTTTTAATTTTGAAAATTTGCAAATGTACAAAAGAGGACAGAATAGTAAAATGAACTCTCACTTACCTTTCACCTACATAGTAAATGTGTTGTTTTTTCATTTTTTCATCTATACTCTCACCTGCTTTTCCTTCTATATTGGATTATTTTAAAGAAAATATAAGATATCATTTTATTCATAAATATTTTAGTATATATTGGTAAAATATCTACTATTTTAAAGTAAAACGCAATTACATTATTATTGATCTACCTACACATAACAATAATTCCTAGTGTTATTAAATATCCTGACTGTGTTCAAATGTTTGCTGCTTAAATGCTTTTTATACTTGGTTTGTTTGAATCAGGATCTGAACATGGCCCACGTGTTACATTTGAATAATTCTCTTTAATATAGGTTTCCCTCCTCCCTCTTTAAAATGCCACTTATTTGTGGAAGAAACTGGGTGATTTGCTCTGTGGAATTGAATTTCCTCTGCTTTGGATTTTGTTCTTAGCGCCTTGTGATGTGACTTCACATGTTCCTTCATCCTCCAATTTTTCTGTAAAGTGGAAGTTAGGTCTAGAGGCTTGATAGGATTTATTCTTTTTTTTTCTTTTTAAAATATATCTTTATTGATTTCAGAGAGAGGAAGGGAGAGAGAGAGAGAGAGAGAGATAGAAACATCAATGATGAGAGAGTCATTGATTGGCTGCAGCCCTCAACCCAGGCATGTGCCCTGACCCGGAATCGAACCCTGATCGCCTGGACCCTAGGTCGATGCTCAATCGCTGAGCCACGCCCTGCTGGGCAATAGGATTTATTCTTTATTTTCATTTTTGGCAAGTATAGGTGCTGGTATAAACTTCCTCTCCCTTTATGTTGGGAGGTATATAAGGTCTTTATCTACTTCTTTATCTTTTTGTGATGTTAAACTTGAGTGGTAGGTTCCAGTTTTGCCATCCTGATCAACCTATTAATAAAGTATCCCTACAGCTTTTCATCTATTTTTAGAAACAATTGACGTCTACTGCTTAATCTATTATTTTAGTGGGGGTTGTAAAATGGCAAGATTTTTCTCCTGTCATCCCTAATACAATTATTAGCTGGAATTTTTCAATAAAGAATTTCTCTAGGTTGACCATTTAGTTACCCTGAGGCATAGTTTATATAGGGAAGGCAGGATAAATGCTTGCTTTTTGCTGTAATTTGCCAGTGTGCAGAATTATTGGTTCTTTACAGCTTCAAAAGTTAAGACCTTCAGTTTCTGGTCCAGCATGTCAGAGATTTGGAAGTTGCTACTTCATTCAAGCAACAAGTTAAAAGGCTGAAAAAATTTGGAAAATAACTCTTTTTAGGTTTTAAGAGAAGCGAAGTCACAGGGACCATGGCTGCCGCCAAAATTAGAGTGACCGACAAGCCAATATAGTGAATCACAACTTATCAGAGTAGCAACCTTTTCTGGAACCAGAGCTGGGTGTGGAAAAACCTGAGTGGTAGTTGACAAATTCTGGAGGCTCAGTGTGGACAACTCTGACAGTGAAAAACTTCAGGAGGACCCAGCCCTTGAGGGGCCCCCACACTTTTGTGAGTTTTACTTAGCGGATCTCTACCAGGTTCTCACAATGAATATTGGAGAAAAGTCCCACGGAGGGGAAGAGAAACCATTTTGCCATATGCCATAGTATTCTGGCCTTCTTAACAAGGTCTGCCTTCAGGAAAAACTCTTTAATCAGAGCCTAATAATCTGGGGGAAGGGAAAGACACAACTTTGGCCCACTCTAGCCATCCTGTCCCATGTAAGGGGGTTTGGGGACTGAGAAGCCCTTGGAACATTTACAGTCCAGAGGCAAAGACTTAGTATAAGACTGATACCTAATCACAGGACTATAAAATGCTTCCCCTGACAACTTATCACCACATTAGTAAAGGCCTATTTACATCTGTTCCTTTTACTCAAAACCTCATGCCTGTCAAACAAGAAAAAAATGCTAAGACCTACCAAAGGCAAAAAACATAGTTGGAAGAGACAGAGCAAACATCAAGACCAGATATGGTAGGGATGTAGGACTATTACATTGGGAATTTAAAACAATTCTCTCTTTGTTTTGTACATTAAGGGCTCTAATGGATAAAGTAGACAGAATGCAACAACAGGCAGGCTATGTAAGAAGAGAGATGAAAATCCTAAGAAAGAAGCAAAATGAAATGTTAGAGATTAAAAACACTGTAACAAATGTGAAGAATGCCTTTGATGGTCTTATTAGGAGACTGGACACAACTGAAGAAGTAATCTCTGCACTTGAAAATATATCAATAGAAATCTCCGAAACTGAAAAACAAAGAGAGCCAAGACTGAAAATATATGAATAACATGTTTAAAAAACTGTAGGACAGCTACAGAAGGTGTAACACGTGTAACGGGAATACCAGCAAGAGAAGAAAGAGAGAGGAAAAGAAGAAATATTTGACACAATAATGACAGAATTGTTTCAAGTTAATGTCAGACACAAAATGACAGATCCAGGAAGGTCAGTGAAAATAAAATAGAATAAATGACCAAACAACAAACACAAAAATCAGCATAAAAACACACCTAAGCATTTCAACCTGACATTACAGAAAATCAATGATAAAAAAAATCCTGAAAGAAGCCAGAGGAAAAAAAATCTTACATATAGAAAAAGTATTATATCTTACTTCTCAGAAGTAATGCAAGCAAAAAGAGAGTGGAATTAAATATTTAAAGTCTAGAAATATGTACCTTATGAAATTATCCTTCAAATGTGCAAGAGAAATAAAGACTTTCTCAGGCAACCAAAAATTGAGGGAATATGTTGCCAGTAGACTGAGAAGGAAAATGATGCAGGTCATAACTAAACTCTAGATAAAGAAAGGAAGAACATCAGAGAAGGAATTAGTGAAGATAAAATAAAAACTTACCTTTTCATTCTTAATTGATTTAACAGATAACAGTTTATTGAAAATAATAATAATGTATTCAATTATGTATGTTCATGTATATATCTTGTGTGTGTATGTGTATATACATATATATGTTTATGTATGCTTATATATGAGTGAAATTAATGACAGCAGTGATACAAGGGGCTGGAAGGAGGAATTGAGATTATTTTGTTATTATAAGGATAATGTTATTTGAAAGTGGACTTGGATTTGTTATAAAGGTATATTGTAAACTTTGAGACAACCACTAAAAGAAGTTAAAAAAAAAAAGTATAACTGATATGGTAAGCAATGAGAGAGAATGGAATCATTAAATACTCAATGAAAACACAAAAAGACATAATAAGGTCAGAAGACAAAAATAGCAAATAACAAGGGTAACAAATAGGAAACTAACAAATATGGTAGATATTAATCCAAGTATATCAATAATTACTTTGAAGGTCAATGGTAGAAATGAATCAATTAAAAAACAGACATTTTCAGAGTGGATCAAAACAACAAGACACACATATATGTTGTCTACAAGAAACCCACTTTAAATGTACAGACACACATAGATTAATTGTAAATGGATGGAGAAAGATATACCATGCTAACACTAATCGGAAGAAAGCAGAAGTATAGCTGTATTAATTTCAGACAGAGCAGACTTCAAAGGAAGGATATTTATCAGGGATAAAGAAGGGAATTACATAATGATAAAGGGGTCAGTTTTCCAAGAAGACAATAATCCTTAACGTCTATGTGCCTAACAATATAGCATCAAAATACTGACAGAACTGCAAACACTAATAGAATTGTAAGGAGAAATAGGTGAATTCTCTATTTCAGTTGGAGTTTTCAACACCTCTCTGTGAGAAATGATCCAGTAGGCAGAAAATCAGTGAAGACATAATACCATCAATCAACTAGCTATAATGAATATCTATGGATTACTTCATTTAAGAACAGCAGAATACACATTCTTCTCAAGCTCACATGGAAGATTCAGCAAGGTAGATCACATTCTAGACCATAAGTCATACTTTAATAAATGTAAAAAAAATCAAACGGTGTTGGCTCTGTGGCCACAATGGAATTAAACTAGAAATCAGTAACACAAAGATAGCTGGGAAATTCCCCAATGCTTGGAAGTTAAACAACAAACTTCTAAAAAACACATGGATCAAAAAAGAAATCTTAAGAGAAATAAAACAAATATTTTGGGCTAAATGAAAACGAAAATAAAACTTATCCAAATTTGTGGCACTCAGCAAAAACAGTGCTCAGAGAGAAATATCTAGAAATGTATAGCATATCTTAGGAAAGAAGAAAGATCTAAAATTAATTATCTAATCTTTCACCTTAGGACAGTAGAAAAAGGAGAGGACATTGAAGGTCAATGGTATAAATGAATCAGTTATATATGCTCATGTATATATCTTGTGTGTATATGTGTATATAAATATATATGTTTATGTGTGCTTATATATATGTGAAATTAATGACAGCATTAATTAATTTATTCTAAAAAAGTATTACAAATGTCACCCAGCTGGGTGTGGCTCAGCGGTTGAGCATCGACCTAGGATCCAGGAGATTGGGGTTTGATTCCCGGTCGGGGCACATGCCTGGGTTGCGGGCTAGGCAGCCGATCAATGACTCTCTCATCATTGATGTTTCTATCTCTTTCTCTCCCCTTCCTTTCCTCTCTCTGAAATCAATAAAGATATGTTTAAAAAATATATATATATATAACACAAATGTCCCTTTATCTCCCCAGTGACCCATTCTACCCCATCCTGCGCCCCTCCCCAGTTCCCCTCCCCACCATTGTCCGTGTCCTTGGGTTGTGCATGTATGCATATAAATTCTTTAGTTACTCTCTCC